TGATAAATCAAAAGACCTATAGATTCAACCATTACTGATAGTATGACTGCCATCAATATATCCCAATCAGCCACTTTTGCTAGGATAGTAGAGTGTATTAGCATGAAAAAAAACGAGTAAAAGCACAAAGTTGCTATTATGATTGATTTATCTCTTAATCAACAGGTATTCCTTTTTAGAGAATCAAATTCAAGCAGGGATGTAGCGCAGCTTGGTAGCTCGTTTATTACAGTTAATAACATAGAAAATAGATTCAAACTTTGTTTAAAAGATCTAGAGAATTACCATTTATTCTTGACTAATTTGCACAATAATCGCTAACAAGTCATTGTGCTTGATTCGGGAATGATTTTTTACTTCTAATATAAATTGGAAATTTCTTCTCCTTTTTTTACAGAAAAAGATTCTCTTAAAATTATGAATTATAATAATAAAATCTATAGATAGATATAGAATAGTCATAAAAAATACAAACATCAATATTTAAGGATAGATATTAAATATTTACAGATTAAGTTTGAATTTGGAAATAAGAGAGTGGTGAATTAAGTCATCAAGAACAAAAGTTACAAAACTATATCTTATCTGTGTACAAATTTGATAAAGACTGCTCCCCCCTCTATTAGCTAGTGGTGAATTATTTATTGAGTGGTAAATTGTTTTTTTAAGAATATTCTTTTAACTTTCATCATCCATAGTTAGTCCTGGCACTGATTGAAAATAAGATTCTAATCTTTGAGAATGTTCAGCACCTAATTGTCTTCCTACTCCTCCAGGACCACGCATTTTATTTCTGTTTCACTCTCTTCCTCTGTATTGTTGTATCTTTGAACCGAAAGGATGGTGTTTCTCTCTCTCTCTCTCTCTCTCTCTCTCTCTCTCTCTCTGTGTGTGTGTGTGAGTGTGTGTGTGTGTTGTATATGTTTGTATGCACTTGCACAAGTTGCATTTAAAAAAATATACACAACTGCAGATGGGCACCTGGGACAAGTTCTTTTCCCCATCTCCCATGCTCGTACAGAGAAAGACCTCTTCAGTTTCTTTGCTGCAGCTATGTTCTGCTCTCCCTTTCCCATGCTCGTGTAAATCTGAGTTCCTGTCTTCCACTGATGCCCCACACTCTAACCCGTGCGGGAGACCACCTCTCTCTCTTTCTCTTTGCCACAGACACAAAGAGCGGTGGGGGTTGGCTCTCTCTCTCTCTCTCTCTCTCTCTCTCTCTCTCTCTCTCTCTCTCTCTCTCTCTCTCTCTCTCTCTCTCTCTCTCTCTCTCTCT